CTTTTTACATAGTATAAGAAAAACATGTATTTTTGGGTTTACATGCCCTTTAAACTTATTTTTTAGTATTCTTGCATAAATGTGAAAATTTGCAACTTGTTCAGACTGTGTTATTTTGCTTATTTATTTCTGTATGTATTTATGACTTGCCACTGTTTAATTTAAGACTCTATGTTTTTTTTACTTTTTTTAGATGACCAGTGGAGGAACTGAGAGTATATTGATGGCATGTAAGGCATATCGTGACTGGGCAGTTGACCGTGGAATAACACACCCAGAAATGTAAATACCGTCCTGTATTGAATGATTAAGACAGGCCTAAAAAAACACTGGCTTCTCATGCAGAAATGTAGTTGCAGAATAATGTAAAATAACTGGGAAATATCCTCCACATTTGAATTAAGAAAAGAAGCTCAGGGCATTGAAATTCAACGCCAAAATTTTTCAATTTCTAGCTCAACAACACAGTGAAAGATCTGTGCATCTCACCTGGTCATGTATATGTCCATAGGAATAGCTGTAAGTTGGGAAAAATTGAAAAGTGGTACTTTAAAATTATCCAGCACCGCTTACATTACAAGGTAATGAAGGGAAAAAAAACCCTAACTTCAAGAATCAACCATTGTTACATGACATTCACTGGCACATGTAACTAGTCATTTGTCAATCTAGTTGTTGGGTACTTGCTACAGATTCAGAGCTATTTAAAAAGGACACATTTTTCTTTATTTCAGTGTGGCACCTATAAGTATTCATGCAGCATTCGACAAGGTAAAAATACTGATACTTTATTTTGAATAAGTAGATTTCATTTGAGTTGACACTGTGTTTTAAGTGATCAGTGAATCACTAATTTCAATTTTTATTCAGAAATATAGTCAAAAGGAGACAAAGCCATTAAATTATGTCTTTAGCAAGGAAATTAGGTTGGGGGAGTAGGCGAAGATAGGATGGTGTGAGTTTTAGGGTGGGAGGATTTGGGGAAATTAGCAAGAAGATGGAACATGGGAGGAAAAATGTCATATTCTATGTTGAAATTAAAAGTCCATTTAGAAGAATTTTTGTATGTAAGTCTAGAGGTCAGGAACCCTACAAGACATTCAGTTTCTTCTACTTTCCATTACTTCAAAATTCCCCAAGACAACTTTACTCATTCGATGGTTGGGTTTGCAAGTAGAGTTTATGGCTGGAAAAATTTGAAATCATTATTGCTCTCTGCATTTCAAGTTTGTTTGTGCATTGGCCTGGTTGTTTGTTTGTTTGTTTGTTTGTCTGTCTTTGTTATTCAGGGTGAGTTCTACTAATCAGTGACTCTACATCATACAAGTGGAACCCTCTGGCAGTATAGTTATAATATAGCTCCACCTCTAAACTTGGTTTTTTTCCTTGGTTTTATAGGCAGCTCACTATTTCAATATTAAGCTTGTTCATGTTCCTGTTGATGAGAAAACAAGGAAAGTTAACATCAAGGTAAGAAGTGGTATTTACAAGTGTTAGATTTGGAACTTGAACTTTATTTAAGAGGTTAAAGACCAAAGCCTAAATGTTTGCCACTCAGTGATATGTTTTTTTTTCTTGCAGGCCATGCGGAGAGCAATAACAAAGAATACCATTCTAGTATGTTCAATTTGGTTCTGCAATTTGTGAGCTGTTATTGTTATTGTTGCTTTGTCTTTTGTCTTTTTCATGTATTTTGTTGTCTCATTGTAACCTGCTTTGGGGTGCAAGATTTTGTAATAGTGAAGGAGTTGTGGAAAATGTTAAAAAATTGAAAGTCTGCAGTGATAGATCTTCACTAGTTACAGGTGTTTTCTGTCAGTTCAAAATGTGGACTATTGTTAAAAAAAACAGCCACAACTGTCACCCTCAAAAAAAGTTGTGCCTAAATGCAAGTTACTGCTATTCTGTGTTCACTGTTTGTATGTGGGTCACTTGTTGTGGCTTGTTTTAATTTGTTTCTTTTGTTTGTTTGTTTATCTTTTGTTTGAACCTGTCTTCCTCTCTGTCTTCATTTTCACCTTTTAGGCAACAGCTAAGTATTGCAGTTCCTATTAATACACTGTTACAGTTATGCTATTGTCTAAACAATACATGAATGCTCTGTCTCTGTTTCAGCTTTGTGGCTCAGCACCTCAGTTTCCTCATGGTGTTATGGATCCAATTGAAGAAATAGCCAAACTTGCCAAAAAGTATAATCTTGGTTGTCATGTAGATGCCTGCCTTGGTGGTTTTTTGATACCATTCATGAAAAAAGCTGGGTATGTCTCTTTTATAACACAATCCCCAGTGGTCTTTCCGTGCTTTCATTTGGGTAAAAAAGATAAAAGGTAGAAATACTCACAAGCCAGAAGGGTCATCCTTACTGAGCTTATCCTGCCCTCCATAAATATAAAGCTTCTGAAAATATGTCTACTCCCTCTGGCCTCGATTCCGTTCCATAACAGTTGCCCCTCCCTTCCCATTTCCCCCCCCCCCCCCCCCCCCATATTTGCATGATAAGAAATTGGGCTTTCATCTCACAGATTCTGATTTTGTATCATATGATATGATATGAATACTAATATTGCATATTTTTGTTGATTTGTCCAGGTTTAGTCTTCCTCCATTTGATTTTTCTGTAGATGGAGTTACAAGTATATCCTGTGATACACACAAGGTAAGTCAAAGTGAGAGGTTTCTAAAGTGCCTCTGTGTATGTATATTTTCTCAACCCTATTTTAACATTGGATGCAAAATGAAATCTATTGAGTTTAGTGTGTCCTACTAGTATTCATGTCTCTTTTTTCTTCCCTTAAGTTTATCTAAGTTGTTTGTTGTTTTGCACTTTGATCCCTAAGTGAAGACTGTCTGTTCTCTCTTCAGTATGGATTCTCACCCAAAGGATCTTCAGTTATCATGTACAGCAACAAGCATCTCAGGCATTTTCAGGTGAATTGATTCAAAGCAAACTTTACTTCTTAGAAACCTCTATAGAAAATACTATTGACTCTTAAAACCTTGCCTCTTAACCCTTCAACTCCTAAGATCTGATCGTTAATTCTCCCCTCTAGCTGCTACACATTTCCTTGTAAATTAGTTATGAGAACTTGGTGCTAGATCAAGAAAGCAGCTTCTACCTGATGAGTTTGAATATTCTGATCACCTGTTTGCTGAAGAATGTATGGATATTGTAGGGAGAAGTTTTATGTCAATCACATCTGGGAGTTAAAGGGTTAATGTACTCAGAATTACACAATTAAACAAAAATCATATCCTTACCTTTTGTGTAATTCCTTGCAGCTTTTGTACGCAACTACTGGTAGTAAATTTCCACAGCATTAATTTTGTATGAATTTTTATTTCTCATTGGAACTTAATTTTTTTTTTTTGTTTTGTTTTTTTTTTTTTTGGGGGGGGGGGGGTACACCAAGATTACCAATTGCTGACTTTCCACAAAATTTGGCCAAAATTTAAAATGCATGAAATTCTTATGCCAACATGGGAGGTGCAGTATACCAAGCAGTATACCAAATTGTGGTTCTAGTTTGCAGGCAGTTTGCTGTTTTTTACAAAGGAAAAACAATAAAACTCATTTAGTTATGCAAGCTGCACATTAAAAAGAAAACAACAACAAAAAAGGCCATGCTGAAGTAGACATTGTGTTTTTATCAACTGAGTTGATAAGGTGAATTGCAGGGCCATCATAAAGAGATTCTAAAACTAACATTTTGAGCATTAGCATTGGAAAAAGGTTAAGTTTTCCTGAAGATGGGGATTGAATGTTGCAAAAGCTGCTTTGTTTACTCAAAATGAAATTCACTTGTGCATCAAACCTAGTGTAGAAAGGATGCAGCTCATGTAAGGGGATTTACAGTGTTTTTTTTGTTTAGTATTTTGTTGCACCTGATTGGCAAGGAGGAATTTATGCCTGTCCATCAATACCTGGCAGTCGACCTGGTGCAATCATAGCAGCGACATGGGCTACAATGATTTACTATGGAGAGTCTGGTATGGAAAGCTTATCCATATAGTGGATGATTTTGTAGTTAACTAGATTTAATTTAAAATGTTTGAGTGAGAGTGTAATTCATTTGGATACAACCATTCAGCAGTATCTGCCACAATCAATACAAAAATGGCTTTTTTTCTTCCAGGTTATGTTGAGAGCACAAGAAAAATTATATCAACAAGAAAGAAAATTGAGGATGGGTGAGAAAGATTATTAATTTTGTATTTTAAGGTTTATTTTGCAAAACCCTCAGCTACCGTTGTGGATATTAAGTTTTGCATGGGCCTTTTTTTTTATGGCTGATTTTCAGTCCAAAAAATGTATGGTAGACATGAGAGAGATTTTGATATAGAAATCGTGAGAGTGATAGAGTTACCCATGTGACCTTTACAACGGTATGTTAAGCCTTATAATTCTTTCCTACAGAAGGGAGATGCAATGAAAATGAGATTGAAATTGAAAATTCGTTAATGTTTGTCTTTAGTTAATGAATGGAAGTTTTTCTTTGCCTTGTACCCCTATAGCTTGCGAAAGATCAAAGGTATTTTTGTTCTTGGAAAACCTGAAGTGAGTGTGGTGGCGTTTGCTTCACATGATTTTGATGTTTACCACCTGGGCGATGCTCTCACCAAGAAAGGCTGGCATCTAAACACCCTTCAGTTCCCTTCAAGGTTTGTATCCGCTGTTTCTTTCAGTCACTCAGTTTTCAGAAATGTACCTAACAGCATAATAATAAATTGCACTTGACAATGACGTAGGCTTTTACAAGCTACTTGTTCCCAGGGTCTCCTCCCTTTAAAGAGAGAGAGAGGACCCTGGCAACGAGGTTGGTTTTTAATACGCTTTATTCTCAAATGTTCTACCGAATTTACACTGATTTAATAAACAGAGTTCTTAAAATAATGAAATGAAAGTTGTGTATTTGTCCATGGCTGATATGTTGTAATTGTTTCGATTTTTTGCAGTATTCATATTTGTGTGACAGCTCTGAACACACAGCCAGGTGTGGCTGATCAGTTTATTAAGGACGTCAGAGAATGTACCGCTGCACTTTTGAAAGATCCTGCAGCAAAATCAAGTGGCATGGTGAGATATTCTGTTAGCACAAATAAATGAAATAAAACGAATTTGACCTGTGGATGATAATCATTAACGAAATAATTATCACAGATGAATCGAGTTGAAGAAACTGCGGAAAAAGGCCCCGAAAAATCAGGTTTCGACAGGGTGTGAACTCGATGGTGGTAGAGTGCCACTAGCCACCGAACTTGGTGGCGAGGCAAATTTCCTTCTTTGAAATGGTAGTAACAACATTGAGCTAGTATGTGAGAGGAACTCTTTCAAAGCCTGAATTTTTTTAGGTTTCCATATCTGCAATTTCGTCTAATGCAGTTGATCTGTGAGGTTTTTTTCCGTCTCGTAATTCAGTTACTGACCTAATATGTGCGTCGTAAATTTTTAAAGTAATACATAGTGACGTATCGGTTTTTCGACAGCTTATTGACTTTGCTCTTATTGCAGTCTGCCATCTATGGTATGTCCCAGAGCATTCCGGATAGATCCATTGTTAATGAAATAGCGTGGGGCTTCTTGGACTGTATGTACAATGTCAATCACGAACCAGCTCATGAGAATGGAGTCGTCAAGCATTAATTTTGTTTTTGGTACGAAGTAATAAGGTGCAAGTCACACAATTGATTCGTTAATTTACCTCCACGCCCGAGGTGTCACGCAACCTTTCGTCCAACTCTTTTTCGACGGAAGCGTCGCGTGACATTCCAAAGTTCGGCTACGCAGGGGCTCTCTGTCTCTTTATGTATTGGAAAAGATGGAACGCTTTTTCAGTCGTGTACCTTTGTATTTATCGGGTAAATTAGATAGAGTCTATTTTCTACGGCTTTGATTGGGATCAACAATTTCTGGAAGAAAGCGATTTTTCGTTACATCTGATGGACTAGTGAGTCAACGATCGTGAAATAGACACAACATGATATAACGTTTCAGCGGTAGCCTTTTGGGTACCAAGGGCCTTTTGATTCATGGTACTGACCCATAGAAACCTAACTTTGAGAACAAGATATTACTAATATATTGATCATTCCTGGGTGAAAAAAGAATAAATGAGTATAACTTAGCAGCTAGAATTATTTTAAAGAAACACCCTAGAAGAAATGCACCTATAATCTTATTACATTGACCTATTAACTTGCTTATTATTGGCCCTGGTTTTCTTTAGTAAGGGCGACAGGAAGGGAACTTAAACCATTAGCCTAAGGAGCAGGCATTAATTTATAAAGCGTGGTTACATTAATATAAGCTAGAGGAAAAAAGGTTTTTGATAATATTATTTACCTATTTCAGTGCAAACTATAAAGGCTATAGAATTGTCAGTTGCATCACGGGGTGCCAACCATCAGCTAGGATTTGCTGGCCAGGTCGGCTCATTCTCATAAAGAATTTGAGCCTACGTATCGGGTGCTCCGTGCAACCGCGTGCGAGTGACTTAGACCGTCACGCGAGATAGAGAAATGATCGCTCGATTTTCGTTTTTCTGTGTTTGGTTGTTCGTTTTTAATACATAGCATAACGAATACTTTCTTATGTATGGGAAGCAAAACAACCAAGGGTATCACATATTTCAAGTGTTTTTTACGGTCGATCCACCCTTCTTCGTTGTATTTACTCAGGCAGGTCCTAGGGTATCAAATACGCATGCGTCGCAGGCCTGGATACATTCCGGTTAAAACTCAGGGGAGCCTTTTCATTTTAAATTTTTAATGAATTAATGTAGGAATGCGGGGATTTTTTTGGAGTTTGATTAATTAATGATTATCTAGAAATTAGATTTAATATAGATTTGATTAGATTTGTTCCTGTGTTCACGCTAGACTGGAGCATGTTTAATTTGATCAGAAAAAGCTAGATTGAACACGATAGACCTGAGAAACGACGATCGGAAAATATTCTCTTTTTGTTGGTTTCGAGCCCAACAATTTGAAGAAAATATCGCGATGACAAAGAACAGGATTTTCAAATCAATCTTTCCCAGGGTGCGGCATTGTTGCCTTCTTATCATATTTGAAGCGCAGCTGGTTCTTTGCTCATCCACAGGGTAAATAAAGGGTGAGACTTGGGGACGCGAAAATTTTTCATGATTACGCCAAACATGTTTCAGTTCTAAAGTGAACACACCATAATGAGTTAAGTTTCGTTAAAACTTGTTTCTGTCAACTCATCATAATTGTAGTCATTGTTTATCTTCACTTTTCCTCTTAATATTCAGTCCTGCTCAGACAATTACAACATGAACCGTTGCTTGTTGCTTTTTTGGATGTATTCAGACTCTTAGCAAGTCGCCAATTGGGGTTTAGTTGTTAAGAAGAGGGTGGAATCCAGTGGATTAAGGCGCGTGGGGACTCACGGGAAGAACATGGCGGCCGATTACGAGTCTTAACCCATTAACTGCTAAGATTTTATTGTTAATTCTCCATTGTTGATACTGGATGCTTTCTTGTAAATGAGTTGTGAGAATTTGGTGTTAGATCAAGACAAAAACTTCTCTCTCATTAGTTTGTATATTCATAGTACCTGTTTGTTGGATAATGTATGGATATTTTAGGGAAAAGTTACATGTTAGTCTCTTTTGGGAGTTAAAGGGTTAACCGCGTTTTGTCGTTTTTGTTTCACCATCTATTTTGCCAACATATTCTTATTCGTATCCGTTTATATTGGAGCAGTGAAATGTAATTGATTTAGCTAATATGAGTGGTTTTTGTGTTCTCAGCAATAAAGTTGTTGATTTGTCATTCTCATTGGAGTATCAGTTGTCTTAATCGATGCTTCCTTTGTTGGACAGTGTTAAGCTGCGGCAACCTCTGGTCTGGGCGGTCTGTTTGTAGAACGAACAAGGACGCAGGGCAAGCGAAAGTTGGCGAGAGAAAACGAAAGGGTACTAAGGAAGGATGGAAGAACTCCTAAAATCCCTCTCCGATTTTTTCTTGCTCGCGAATTCATTCGTCTCTACTGACCAATTGGAACTTAGCTAATTTTATCCTTCATGATGCTCCAACCGTGATTATAACATAGCGCGCGTGCTTGCTCTATATAAGTCCTATTGAGCCGCTATGAACAAAATCTTTCTAGTACGCACGCCCGTGCGTAAATGAGATAACGTGAGCATTTTTTTACCTGGCTTCAGAGTTTCCGTCCAGTTAAATTAAAGTGCAGTTTTCTTCCTCTTTGAAATATGGAAGAATTAATATTAGTAATATCTTGCCCAATTTTTTTTATCAGCACTGATTCAACAAGCAACAAAAATAAAGCCGAAAAAGACTTGCGCAGATCCTTGTCGTCGCTCTGTTACAAAAGAATTTGCACGTGCTTTTAGCTGTGCGTAGATCGAGTTATGGATGCACTTGTGAAGTTTGGAGAGCACTCAAAGAGCTAGAGTTGCTCTCGGCTGCGCCTCGAGCTTCTCTTACGCATTTCTCGTGTTCTCCAAACTTCCCGCGTGCATCCATAACTCGATATACGTACGCTAAGCATGAACAAATTCTTTATTAGCCAATAGTGTAGATATCATTCTTTTTTTTGTTTATTAACGTTTCTGTTGTTTATTATTTTAATGTTATGTCGAGCCCCCATGCTTTTTTTTTTTTTGTGGGCCTTTTTTTGTCATAACACAGTTAAATCGTTAAACTTAGCACTGCTACATTAATTATTGTTGTATATTCACCGTTGGAAATTTTTTGAGTTTGCATCTTTGTTTCCTTTAATGTCTGATTGAAACATGGATGCTAATCTTGTGTGTGACATGCTCCTTAATGTGAAATGACCGGAACCGCTCTCTTCTAAGAAGACAAAACGGTAACACTGCCTTTATTATATATCTGCCTGCGACCGTAAGCGCAAACAAATGATTCAGAAAACGATTTCACAACAATGATTGAAGGCCTTAATGAAGACTGGAATTCTGATATAAAGTTAAAGCAAACTGCCGCACAAAGGAGACCGCAGCTCGCAATAACACAGTCCGTGAGATACGAGCGGTCACTGTTACATTCACTGTACCTCACAATTCTGTCAGTGAGAATTTCTCAACACTGTTCATTTCAGTTCAGAAAGCTTGTCAACTGCCTCAGGGAGCCTAGCAACTGGACTTATCCTTGATGAAACCGCTGTTGATAACTCTCTCAACGCAAACGAAGGCGGCGCTCTTTCACTTAAATGTGCGATAGTCTCGTGACTCTGGCGCGTTTGTTGATCCTGGTGATAAATGCCAAACAGTGAACAAACTGCCTTCCTAAAATCTGGCATTCTAAATGCGTACAAAAATGGATTCACAAGAGAATTCCCAAAGTTAAAAAAGCTCATAATGTTGAGAAAAAGATTGTTCGTTTTTCTGTTGAGAGCGAAGTACTTGACGCCAAGTACAACCATTGGAAGATAGGCGACTATGGAGAAAACTGTGGCCATGAACAAAGTCACCGTTAATTTGCGCTCTCTGTCCGATCTACGTCGGTCAGTTCGTCGCATTTTTACAAATAGAGCTGAGTACGACCCACAGATTACCAACAACAAGAGACAAATATAGGGCAACCAGGGAAACAGGGAACCCAACGGTGACGAATACGCAAAAAGCGCAACTGCATACGAACTCGTGATGACGGCAGACAGCGTCCAAATAGAGGCAATGAAGAACAGAACTTGGGGCTTTGGAGTAGCACGATGTCTCCATGGTAACATGGTTGCGTATAACCTCTCGAGTGATATGGCGGCCAGGTTTGAAATCGAGGCAACACTTGCGAACATGTCCAACGTCAGGAAAGTGATGGTTTGCCACAGCTCACCCAAGCCTGTCACCTGATAAATCCATAGCGGTAGAACAATTAAGCCAATGCACAGGTCTGCCAGCGCCAAGCTGATAATGAGATAAGAGCTTGGCTTTCTTAGGCGGTAATCTCGCGCAAAGATAATGACAATCAGAAGGTTTCCTATTACTGTGACAAAGGCTTCGATGGCAAACACAGTACACCATGTTGCAACTTCAATCTTGCGTGTTGACTGGGAAATATCGTCGTCTGAGGATTTCACCGTGGAATTCTGCATTTTTAGATCTGGAAGGAGAACACTAACTATTGTCCTTCTCACCAAAGTTTGATAAAGACTCCTCGCTAAACTTATTCTCAAATTACAGCTAACAATTCTATCAAACAGCTTCGGTTCTACTGATGGTATTAAAGTGATTCCCCAGTATTGCGCTTCGCATCCTGAAGTGCGCATTAAAATCACGTAATCAGGCGACTTAGCGACGTACACATTGTTTGTTAATCAGTGGTGATAAGGTACGATGGTCTTTAGACCTACATTTTTTTATTACATAACTTTGGGGTACACGTATCTCCTTTTAATTGAAGAAACTATTTAAAAAAAAACTCATTGAAGAGCACAAAAGAAAAAAGCTTGCAGAAAGCCCGTAACTCGAGGATGCAAATTATGATCTTGAAAGCAAAAACTTGAGCAACGTTTTGAGTCGATGTCGGCTAAGATTGGGTGATTGTGTTGATTGTTCCACAAAATCTAAATTAAATTTTTTCATACGCTCGAGACTTTCTACCAATCAAGTCTTTTCCAAGTGTTACTTTAAAAACTTTTGCCTTCAGCAACTGCAAAATGTACCGCGAACCGAGGAAATGAGGCGAGTGATTAGTGCTAGTACATGTTTAAATGAGGTAACTTTGACCCATCATTTCTCTTAAACAAGCTCAGTGACTTTTTCATTTCATTTTTCGAGACAAACATTAGTAGGGAACATATATTGTAATGAAGTTCAGATATGAAGCGCGCTGTCGTTGGTTGAAAGAGCGTGCTCCATGAGAGTAAAGAGCACAGAGCTGAGTTAAAGCTGTCACGCCATCTGCCAAATTGTACTTTGTCCGACCTTTTCCGAGACTTTTCTCCAGTTTTTTTTTCTTTAATTGAAAATGAAATTTCGGAACAGGCGAATCGGCAAATAGCAACAGAAGAACCAAACAAAGGTTTGCAAACATGCCAGGCGCCGCAATTGACGTTATTATAACGTGAGTGGAGACGAAAATCCTCAAAGAGTAAACGAAATGGACGGTCCGAGTTTTTAAGGTTTTCACACTCAGTTAGATTGCAAGGTTACGTACGGTATTAAAAATCAAACACAGCTTACACTCGTGTAATATATGGTTTCGTGTTCAAAAACAAAAGAGAACAAATCAGAAATTATTAAAAATATTATTACACCCATTTTGAAATCACTGCTGGTCCCTGCAATCCGTTGGGCTCTAATCGGTGCGATTTATTCACGAATCGCACCATTTTTTGCTTTAAATTGCATCTTTTTCCCAGCCAATGAGCAGGCTACACTAAAAACAAAACAATCAATCAGATTTCAAGGCTTGTTAAAGTAACCAATCAAATTGTAGGAAAATGAAAGACAAAGATTATCGTATGGCAAATTTTGCTACTTTTGTTTCCAAAGTTCTTATTTTTCCCCCCAAAAAATGGATGAATTTAATTTCAAACCAGCTCAGTACTGCATCAATAAAATATTTGAAGTGACCAAGTCCTGTATTTTGGCGATTTCAAAATGGATGTAATAAAGTGGTAATTGAACCTCGTGTCGTGCAATCGAAATCGAAATCGAAATTTGAAATCACGCGTATGATTTCAGTAAATTGCACTCCACTCAGTTCAATTACCATTATTAACCAAACTGGCAAAACCGTTAAAATTCATACAAATCATGACAGTGTCAGAGCTCGTCATGGCGATCTCTGGTCATCGTAGTCAAGTTCGCCTCAGAAATTACATCGGCCGCACTGCAAGAGAACAACTGAGAGCCTGCTCTGATATCCTTTCCGATCCGTTGATTGGAAGGCCACATCAGTCTTACGGCGCTGTCATCCCGAGCAATCCTAATGTTCCGGTAAATTCGGCTGTCGTTCATTCAGGAAACACACGCTTGAACATTTTGTTTTCTAACTATCACGTGATAAAACTTACGTATTTTTAAGAGCCACAATGGGGCCGGATTTCACTGAATATTTCACTTTCAGAATCTGTCTTAAAGACTAAAAAGTGTCAAATTCGACCTGCCGAACGCGCAGAAGGTGAACTTTGATGGTTTGACATTTTTGACAGCCTTAGTCTTGTACAGCCAATCAGATTATTTGCACCATTCTAACGGGGATTCTGATTGGCTTATTGTAGCAAGCTTTGTGAAAGTATTGAGCATGCTGACGACACTGTAGTTCTCTTTAGAACTAAAGTTTGTTTTGAAAATTGAAAGTAATACGTGGGGAATTTAACAGATTCTTTATTATATTACAAATAGAGAAGCCTTGACTGTGCTCTGTTTTCTTGTGTAAATCACTACGTCTCGTCTTGTGTAAATCACTACGTCTCGTGTTTCTCCCTACACTTCTTTCGTGCTCTAGCTGCTTCCTGCGTGCTTTATAACAGAACAGAGCACAGTCAAGGCTTCTCTATTTGTTAATTGTGCGATAACTTTTTTTTGTCTGAGGAATCACCTTTTCAAAAAATTCTGACTACATGCAAGGTAAACAACCAGCTCCCGAGGCTAAGCTAAGTGCCTATTTAATGTCGCTTAAGAAAGTTCTTCCTTATTCGCAAACGATTAATGTTGCGATTACGACTGTTTTTGGTTTTTTTTAGAGGGTCTGTTCTTCTCCACGAGAACTCCGCCGAGTTTCCAAGATTGGAAAACTACAATCGCATAGTTCTTTTCATTAATTTACACAACTGAAGACTTTCGATAACGAACACGGGAAACAAATTTTCTCGTACAATCAGAGGAAAGGTTGTTAGAGACTTAAGTTGATTTCGTCATTGAATTGTGAAAAAATGTCACCTACCTTGAGGATAGAGATGCCCTGTCGCTATTAGTTCAAGGTCAAAGATGGACCAAAGAAAAAAAAAGCATGCATCCAGTATGGCGTACACAAGAAGAAATTGTCGGTTTCGTATCTCTTAATATGACAACTAATCAGAACAAGATTGTCGTTACAGCCGTGAAGGTGCGTTTTTGAATGGATGCTTTTATGTCATTTTATTGTCATTTTGACAGGCAATTTCGCAAATGGATGGCTTGCGCACACACTTTCTATTTGGTTGCCACATTTTGCATAAATTGAATTATCATATAAGAATGGTAAAATGTATACTATATTTTAAACTAGACACCTGCAACCATTTTCTCGGGCTACTTATGTGTAACGCAGAAAGATTATCTTTGCATTAGGACCTTAGAAATGCAAACAATCACTTAAACACCGAAAAGGAAGTCTAAGAGGCTCCATTAGGCAAGAGCTTTGAGCGTCGTGTATACCTTCTACAATTTAAGCTTGAAGTGAAGGGAATGTAGCCTTTGTTATCAGATAGAAATGGAATGTTTGAAACATATTATCTATCTGCAAAACTATAAATAAAAATTGGCAAATTCACCTTCATAAACTTGCACATCCATTGCTTTTTTTTCACATTTGTTGTCTGACGTGGCATACCATTTACCCTCTTCCAATGAGCATTAGGATTTACTGTTATGTTTATTTAAAGGAAGTGGAAATCAAGGGTTCATTAGGTGAATTTTGCCCAAGCTTAATGTTCTGGGAATCCTGAAAATTATAAAAACCCTGCATAAAGCGTAGAGGATACCCTAGGTTTAAAGAAAATAAAGGCGAAATAGTGATGCGCAAGCCATCCATTTGCGAAATTGCCTGTCAAAATGACAATAAAATGACATAAAAGCATTTATTCAAAAACGCACCTTCACGGCTGTAACGACAATCTTGTTCTGATCAGTTGTCATATTAAGAGATACGAAACCGACAATTTCTTCTTGTGTACGCCATACTGGATGCATGCAATTTTTTTCTTTGGTCAATCAACAAACGAATAGTCCGAGCTTTATTGAAACGCTAGATATGATCATTGTAACAGCATAAACATTAACCGAGTTTAAATGCTTGAAGGTACCATTTACTCATAAATTTGACAGTTGGTGAGGAAATAGCTGGGAAACAGTGTATCAAAATCGATTGCTTTATCTAGTTCCCAGAAAGACTTAAATGAACATAAAAATCTGCATTTCTCCTATTTTCTTTTCATCTTGCACTCGGTAGAAGTTATAGCTCTAGTTCTACATCTTCTCAAGACTTCCTTAGCATCACGTAAACATAGTGAGGTATGCAAATGAGTAAGTTTTTCCTCCCGTCAATCATAGTTTTACAAGACCAAACAATGGCTTCGAAGAAGGAGATAACACCCTCTATGGAATGTGTTCCTGGTCAACCTCGATGTACAGTTAGCGTGTTTTTTAGAGCAAAAGTGGTACCGATATCAATAAACGATTGGTAATCTATACATATCCCGTTGGGGACCGGCATTATTTTGCTGGACGGGGAAGGGAAGAAGGAAATCATAATTTTCTACAAGCCTCCTGCCGCCAGGCCATGTAAATAGCAAGTGACTCCCTCTTCTTTATTCAATATTTATGCGATGACCTCCCGTCATCTCATATCTCCTCTTATACGCTTGGCAATTATTAGAATGCATGTCACGTACAACCATAAGATGATTACTTTGCATAATCCCTCCTTGGGCAATGGACCACTCTAGAAATTTATCTCAAACTGCAGACCCCCCTTAAATTCTGTTTAAAAAATTTAGCTACCTCCCCCCCTACAGCCAATCTAAAATAGCTTTGAGGCCCCTTTTTTTTCTCCCTTTCTCTACATAAATAATATCGGTCCCTCAGCTCATGTTATGATGCTAACCCCCCTAAAATTCTGTATAAAAATTTAGCCACCCCCCCCCCTCTAGCCAATCTAAAATAGCCTTGAGGCCCCTTTTTTTTCTCTCTCTCCCTCTAAATAAAAAATATCGGTCCCTCAGCTCATTTAATGATGCGTTTAAGTACTATCTACTCAGTTAATCATCTTAAAGGTAGTTTAGAAAATGGAAAAGGACCATTTCGTGATTGATATTCAGTGTAATGTAAACGTACAAAACGGGGCAAGATCGTCTCCTGCTTCCTGCCACCAAGCAATCTCGCGTGTCATATATTGTTGATATCATTGATAAGTTTTTCAAAAAGTACTTAATTAAATCATTTAAAAATCATTAAATTTCTTGATTGCTCAATATTACCAGTCCGAAGTAACATAAGTATCCAGTGGTTTTTGTCAAAATCTACGTTGAGCTTTACAGCTTCTAGAAAATGATAAAAGATGGATGTAGAAGAGAAAGTTAAATCATACATCCATTTTGAAATCACTTGTGATCCTTGCAATCTTTTTGGCTTTCAGTAGTGTGATTAATTCACGAGTCGCACCATTCTTTGCTCTAAATTGCATCTTTTCCCGAGCCAGTGAGAAAAGAACTTAAACAAAATTACCAGTCTAATTATATGGCCTAATTAACAAATCCAACTGGGGAGAAAAAGGCCATCGAATGGTGAATTTTGCTACTCTTGTTGCTGAAATTTGCTTTGGAAAAATGAATTAGTTTCGGGACGTGCAGTTTCTATTTCTGCCGTCAGTTGCACTTTTGAATAGTTGCAAAACAAGAGAATATAAATTGATATTCTCTTGTTGTAAAAGTGTGGCAAATGAACTTCTTGTCGTGCAAAGTTGATCTGAGATGATGCTATTGACTTCAGGTGAACTTGTACTTTGCTTAGTTCAATTACCGGAAGTAGAAACATATAGCTATCACAGTCGCATTTATGTGTTTACGTCACGAACTTTTCTGTGTCACGGATGCCTAGGTCACGAGACCTCTTCTGCGTTACGCTTTGCTCGATCAATCTGTAAGAGTAAGAGTACCCTCTTGTGATCGAGTTTGTTTGTTCTTTTACGGATTTTCCGGCGAGAAACAATGTTTCGGACATTGGGTTTTGGCATAAGTACAAGCATCCTTCTTATACCAGCCCTTTTCCTCGATAGACAACGGTGCACCGTCTCTGCAGCTGAGAAAAACGCAAAACCTAACATAGCAATCATTGGAGCAGGCATTGGCGGTTCGAGTGCCGCGCATTTCATTCGACAACTCTTTGGACCCGAGGCAACAATTGATGTTTACGAGGCATCAGATAGGATAGGGGGACGTTTGAGTACCGTGGAAATTGCTGGGAAAAGGTTTGAATCAGGAGGATCGATAATACATAAGAGTAACAAATACATGGCAGATTTCGTCGAGTATCTCGGTACGTATCTCAGTTTCATTTCTGCTTAAAGACATTTTTTTGTTATTATTGGTGCTTAAGTTAAATTATCACAATCAATAGTGATATATCTAGTTCTTTTAAGATTCTCTGACATCCATTGATTGGATCATGTCGATTTTACAGAACAACAAGGAACGCTTACCTCTTTTGGTAGATCGGAAGCTTAAGCTAGAGGTTAATTTGTCAAATTTCAAAGTATTTTTCCTTGATTTTTACTAAGAAGAAATAAATGAAATAAAAAGGAAATTTAAGTAATGAAAAACTTCCAGATTTTGTTGATGGGTTACGAGAGGCAAGACTGGTAAGAACAAAACAATGACTTCCTGCTCACCACATTCAGGTGTTTCTACTCTCCCCCCAGGAAACTGGTAATGACATAAGATAAATGAAATGCATCAAAGCAAAACATGAAAAAAATGGAAAAAAATGATAGAAAAAGTTATGACAATTTTTCAGATACCTACCTCTAGCTTGTAACACTTTCATATACCTAATCCATGGCACTTATGCGAGGAGTGGATGTATCAAACATTTAGAGCCCTTATCACAACTTAACCCTTTACACCCAAACACCAGTATGTATATTCTCCATACTGTTCTCCATACATTTCTTAAGATGCTAACAAGGAGAATTTGTTTAACCATCAAGAACTTCTCTAGTTGTTGATCATTTCCTTTATTCTCATGACGTTAATGTTTTATTCAGGGGTGATCTACAATAAATAAGATAATACACAGGTGCTTGCGAGTGAGTGAGATATCAAGTTGAATACTCTTAGAGAAATCCCATATCTATGTTTGCCCATGTATTATTCCCTATATATTTGATGTAAATGTTTACTCCATGTCCATTCTAGACTTCAAACACCAAGAAATAAAAATGTCATTTCTTGCTTCATGACCGTCAAACGTAAGCCACCAATTGCAAACCTTCACTGCATTTTTTCCTCCTTTCTGCGGTGACCAAAACAATAACAGCTTGGAGCATGTGACATATTTATTAATTTTCTTATTTTTTCTCCATAAACAGAGTTAAAAAAACTGAAAAGCAGTGAACCTAACAGTCTTCTTGGAATTTATAATGGGGAAGAATTTGTCTTTTATGGTAGCAGATGGAAACTTGTGAATTTCATAAAGCTTGTTTGGCGGTATGGCTTGTTTGACTTGTACACCATGAACAATTTCATCACAGAAATGTTAACAAACTTTTCAAATATTTATGATCTGCAAGAAAAGGAACAGGCATTCAATACTGTGCCAGAAATGTTGCGAGCTCTTGGTGGAGAGAATTTCTATGAGTACACACAGCAAACAACACGACAAACTTTGGAGAATATTGGTCTTAATCAACTGTTAATAGATGAGTTAGTGACAGTTGTCATGAGGATCAATTATGGTCAAGATGTGACTCTAAATGGGTTTGCAGGTAAGTTGTCTGACTCAGTGCATTATTAATTTTTTCCAACTGGTTGGCTCCACAAGTGGTCGAGATAAGACAAATACTGTGTTCTAAGCAGGCATGGTGGTCCTGTTTTGCCAACTTAGATTGGGCACTGTGAAACAGTCACTGTGACTGGTTGACATACTACATAACTTTTGACCATTTTTTTTGGTTGCAAGCAAATCTTTTGTAATGGTATTTACATCACTGGGATCACAAAGCATGTCTTGAAGCTAAGAAACAAAGAAAACTGAGACGACATTACTGAAATTCCTTTGTTTTTCCCATGGCCTCATTTTCTTGTCTGAGCCAGAGGAAAGATTCTTTGGTTAGTGGTGTAAATTTATTTGTCCAACTAAATTTGAATTAAATTCAGATCCTAGGTCAAAAGGTGGAGTGGCAGAGATATTGTCATTTGTTACTTTTTGATTTTCAATTTTTCTTAAGCTGAAAATCCTAAAAATGGATCTTGTGGATAATGCCCTTCAGTCAGTGTTTTTTTTCTGACACTCTACTGTCACAGGAGGTACCTAATATGAATTGTCAAGGAAATTTAAAGAACTAGGGGAGGGGGTTGTTGTTGCTTTTTCCAAAGATACCAAGGATGTGCCAGCAGTTATGGGGTGTTGGTCCTCTTAAAAAAGTGCCACCCTCAACATCAAGGTAAAATTTGCACATTGGGCACAAGAAAAAGATTCCAAAATATTATGACATAGCTCCTTTAACTGTTTGGGATGCCTAGTTGTGAGAGTTAAGAGTGCTCAGCTGTGCCTTGCTGTGAGGGTTTTGCCTTCAGGTTCTCCAGATTTAAGAGTTTCTCAACAGAACACTGAGAATGCTTCAAATTCCAGTTTGACTTCGAAACAGTGGGTGAAGAGCCACTTCATGGATCTGCCACTGCTTAATTCCATGATTACTATTAAAGTTAACGATTTGAATTTGGGAGTAACAGGTGATCATTTAATCTGATTGTCCAGTTGAGAGTAGTCCTGGGAAGTCCTGTTGTTGGTGGTGATGACTGATGTTTCCACAACCTTAGAGGAAGTCATCATCGAAGTCGATGCAACTCTGAAAATGGTGTCCTCTAAGGCTGTTGAAATGGTAGTCACCACCACCATCAACAGTCCTCAGGACCATCCTCAATTGGACAGTTAGAATACATTATCCCATTATTTCCATCATCATCATTATTATTATAATTATTGTTGTCTATCTGTTTTTGTAAAAGGAGCAGTGTCCTTAGCAGGATCACAGGGTGGTCTTTGGTCTGTTGAAGGAGGGAACTGGAAGGTTTGCGATGGATTACTTTCCAGCTCAAATGCTACTGTGTACAAAAACACCAAGATATCAGAGATTGTGAAAAGAAGTCAAGGAAGTTCTGTATGCCCTGTGTACACCTTAAAAAGTGACAGCCAAATTCCAGATCAGCATTATGATGTTGTCATTGTTGCAGCACCCTTAGAGATTGCAGATTACTATTTTGATTGCAAAGACTGCAACAACTGGCCTACTCCAAAAGACCTAGGAGAATTTTGGCGCACAATTGCTACTTTTATACATGGTCAAGTCAACATGAATCATTTTGGATTTTCAACTGAGGATGATATTCCAGAAGTGATAGGCACAACAGAAACACCCACAAACTTTTTTAACTCTATTGGCAAGCAGGAGCCTGTTGAAAACAGGACAGAAATTGATCCAAAGGAATTGCCCATTAACAAAATTTTTTCACGCTCTAATCTGACTGCATTGCAACTTAATAAACTGTTTAGCAGAGTAGATGAGATGAAGGTAGTATCATGGCTGGCATATCCACACTTTACCCCTCCTGAAAAGTTTTGGTCATTTGTTTTGGATGATGGAGTGTTCTTTGTCAATGCAATTGAATATTCTGCAAGTGCAATGGAGATGTCAGCAGTTAGTGCTAAAAATGCAGCTTTATTAGCACATCATTACTACTCTGGCAAGCTATCAGATGCACACATCAATGACAAGCCCTCAAATCTCAGGAGTGAGCTATGAGATTAGATAAAGTAACATTTACGTGTTTACTAAACTGTTTAAGCTTATTTTCGAATGACATCACAGTAGCCTTATTGGTCACTTAAACAATGGTATGGCTCCTGTGTTGGTATAACAAGTCAGACCTTTGTGATTTTTGAATATATTTTGTTGTACATGAAACTTTCTTTCATTCCAAGAAATCTCTATGGCTGTCCACCATGGGATTGTAAACACAAAGATCTACAATAAAATGCCCCTATAAAAAAATTGTATACCAAACTCAAATGTCAAATATTTTTTCCACTTTAATGACAACTTTTAACAGCTTTTATGTTTTGAAAAATGCTTAAAAATCAAAGAAAATATACAAGACATGAAAATCTTTTAAAGTATGTAATAATGATAACGTCTCAATAGTCTCACAAAAAAGTGCTGTTTTGCACTACAAGTGTATTATTGGAAAATTCTTAATTTTTCTCATATGTTAATTTCTAAATTTTTTGTCATAACATACAACAATATTACCTAAAAAGTTATAGGCGCAAATTGATAGCTTCTAAACAAGTTTATTAAGTCTAGATTGTATCCACAAAGCCTTTGTTCTTTCTTATAAAACACTTACTAATTAAAAATTTTTAACTGTTCAAGATTTGTTGGCGGAACATATTTTGCCTGAAAACACTTACTATATCACTGTACTAAAAACGTATTAGTAGGTAAGGAAAAAAATTCCCCAGAAAAATATCTTAGAGCCAAAAAGTTGCAAAATTTTTAAAAGATATAGATTATGTACCCTACTTTCGCCATGTATATTCGAATAGCTAACGCTGCTGGTTTCTAAAACACAGTATTCAGTTCATTTTTAATGAAAGATTTCAATTTTTTTCACAAGCAGTACTTTAAAACGCTTTTAAGTACAAAGTAACGACAAATTTTACACCTTTTACACTGAAATTTTCAGTGGCTAGTTAAAACTCGAGAACTGATTACAAAAATGGATGTGCACTTCTAGATTTCAGAGAACCAAATTACCAGATATACCAAAACTTCAAATAGGTTTCAGAGCACTTTTCAAGAGTGTCGTAATATCAAATTCACAGTAATCACCACAGCCAATCATAACAAAGGAAAATATCACATAGGTCTTTTACGACTCTGATTGGTTGAGAAGATCCCTAAATTAGTTTCGAAACTCAGTTGATAATTTCCTCTTGAAACCCTATTCGGTTTTGCATTGAGGCCTGATAAATGCTGTGTTCGATCCATGTTCACGAAGAATACCAGCTGCCACTTAGAGAAATCGAAGGGTGTAAGGTGTAGTTCACCTCTGGCTTGGATGCTATAAAAATAATACCAGAGAGAAGAAAAAGAAGAAACTTTCAGTAGATAATTCGTCATCATCTGCAAGAATGTTTTCAATATGGCAGTTTCGAACCAAGAATAAGATTGGGATAATTATAATAAATTAATTTATATAATTGCATGTAAAAATTGCGAGCTTACATTCGAAACAATCTGTTTGAAAGAGAATTTGTCCTTGGCGGTGATGGATTATTTTCATTGAAGCAAGTCGTTGTAGTAGTCATTTATTTATCACCTACTATAACACAATACTTTACAATAATAAAGGACGGCCTAGGAAAGCTTTCCCTAAAAATTGGAGAAAGCAGCAATTCAAACTTTATATATTGATACTGAATAATACTAGGAACATTGAAGACTAACCCTCACCTGATGTTTGTAAACTTTAAGCTGAAACCTCCATTTCCTTACGCATGTCTCTGAGCTTTTCCAGGGTTTTTCCCTTTACCTTTTTTTGTCTTTGTAGTTCCTCTTCCTTTTCAATGCATATGTCCAAAGGATTCTTTCCTCTTTTGTTTCGCATCTCTCTCCATTCCAGCGGCTTGAAAAGGGGAAAAATTTTATCAAAGGCAGTTTTATAAATCGAAATCACACAATGATGCAGAGCGGTGTTTCCATTATCGTCAAAACTTCTTACTTGAATCCACGTTGACCTATTCATAAACGTGGAGACTGATTTTACATTTTTTTTTCTGATTGCCACGGACAAAGAGGACATTCCTGGAACTAATTCCTTAGCCTCTGAGTGATTCACATCAAAATCAGAGGGAAGCTGACAATTGAGGTCAACCTTTCTTGTAGTGATAAGGTACTGCATTACATGAGGACTCATAGCAGGCAAGGAACAGGCTTTAAGAAGTGCATTGTAGCCTCTTTCATCTGCTGCATCCAGTTGATCTTTTGAGAAATGCTCGAGTTTGTTCTGAATTTCGTCTGTGGTTAGGTCGCTTCTGCCTTTTTCCTCAACTTGCGTTTGCATTTCTTTATACTCTCTCCATAAATCCACGATAATCCCGGTGACACTGTTGGTACCATCCATATGCGCGGCGGCATCTAAAGATTGGACTATATCAGCTTTCTTCCCCAAAGTATCGCGCTTAACGCTTCCGTTATCACTGGAGTCGTCACCAAGACCAACTTTTCCGCCTCCATCAACAGCTTTGCCAGGAACTACTTCTTCTACATGCTGGCCGTAACCGTCACCAATTTTTGGTCGCTTTATTTGGGTGGACCATTCCTGATGTTCTTCATTGAATGTATTTACGCGTTCATTTTGATGGCTGTTGGCTTGCTTTCCTTCAAGAGAGCCATCATTCATTAACGGCTCTTTTTTTAAGAAATTTGGATGATAATTAGACTTCTCGCCTCCCTCCATTTCTTTAAATGTTTGTACGCGTTTATTCTGATCGCTGTTGGCTTGCTTTCCTTCAAGAGAGCCATCATTCATTAACGGCACTTTTTTTATGCAATTTGGATGGTAATTAGATTTCTCGCCTCCCTCCATTTCTTAAGAATGAATGCAATGGTCTGTTTGTTACCTTCGCTCAATCTACTCCATTCCATGTTCTTGGCAATGTCTAAAGGGCTCTTTCCCTCACCGTTGATCATCGTTTTCCAATTCTTGTTCTTGTACAGAGGGAATACCTTCTTAAAGGCAAATTTAGAACAGGATAGAACACAGTGGTGAAGAGCAGTATTCCTCTCCTCGTCAAAAGTTCCTACCGAAATTTCTTTTCCTCGTTTCGTGAAAGTTTGAAGCGTTTTGGCTTTCTTTCCACATTTAATAGCCACTGACAAAGCAGACATTCCTGGAATCAACCCTTCGCCTGCTGGGTGGTGCCTGTCAAAGTTAGGAGGCAAACGAGAGTTGATCTCTACTTTTGCATCATTTATGAGATACTGCATTACATGAGGACTCATGGATGGTAAGGAACAGGCTTTCAAGAGCGCATTGTAACCACTCTCATCTTTTTCTTCTAGCTGGCTAAGAGTGAATTTCGAAAGCTTGCTCTTTACATATTCCATTGTAAGATCGCTCGTTCCTGTTTCCTGCTTCACCTTTTTAGCGCTCCCTGGAATTTTCTTGTATTCCATCCAAAGATCGACGATAGCTTTAGTGACCTCACTGGTACCTTCAAAATACTTGCGATTGTTACATCCATCTTCTTGTCTCCTCTCTTGAGACTGCGGGGTTTCGCTTACGATACTGGAGTTACTTTCGACTTCGGCATCTCCTTCTCCACCGAACAAAGCTAAATTGTCGACTTCTCTCACCGAATGGGGAGATTTACTACTACTTTCTCTCTCTTTTCTAACCGCTGTCCCATCTGCCGACATCGTCTCGCCTTCTTGGTTGTTACGTCGTTTCTGGCATTCTTCTTGAATCTTTTGCCTTTTGAATGTTTGGCAGTCATTGGAGGATTCCTGCAGCGATCTCTTAACTCCTTTCGTCGTTTTGCCTGTATTTTGCTGGTTAGACGAGGTACTTTCATCCAGAGTTAGCGCATTACTGTTGTTTTCAAGGCTTTTTTCAAAAGCCTCAATATCATTTGTGCCCATTTCTGTCTTAACTACGTCGTTGTTATGCGAGAAGGATGCTTCGATCAAAATCCAACGCAAACGGTGCCTCTTAGGGTCTGCCGCGGAAAAAATGGCAAATTGTGCGTTTCTATCAGTCATCTCATCGTTGTGACAAATACCGTGCCTGGTTGATATGGTTTGCACAGTCATTTGAGGCCATCGCCTGTTTGCTTCTGTGGCACTTGCAACGAAAACAATTTTCTTCTTTGTAACACAGAAATTTGAATCAAGGACATCTAAGGTCTCTCTTCTACGATTTCCTGGAAAGTAGGAGAGAACCAGCATAGAAACTCCCCTGGTGCGATCTTCTTCTGCAACCATACCCACATCAAGTTGCTCAAGGATACGAAGGGGAGAATCTGCTGCTTCTTTATTCACCAGTCTATCATATTCAATTCTCTCTTTGAAACACTTGTCAGGACCACTGGTGTTCACAAAGTTGCAAAGTTGCTCTAGGATAATTTTCTCTTCCAGGGCTTCTGGTAGCTCGCTTTCAACTGGTCTCTCCACGATTGAACATTTCTCATCCCAAGGGAAGACTTGAGGCAGGACGAGGCTTTCAATCCAGGCTTTGTACTGAACTTTGACGAAAGAGTAACGGTTGCATCTAACAACCCATAGACCTGCTTTGTCACAATCATCGTTGAAGCGTAGATCTTCCCAGCAGGGCCATGGACGGTAAAAGACGCCTTTGTCCACAGTACTTTTGACATTGAGCAAGACCACAGCGTACACCTGGGTCTTCATGAACGGACTCACTGCTTTTGGGACACTTCTCATCAGACCAAGAACACCATAGCTCCCATGTTGCTTATCGCGGAACAATTTCGCAGGACCAGTGTAGGTATACAGTGGAAAGCCTTGGGCTTCAAAATCATCTTTTAGTGGATGAGACTCGTGTTCCCTGTCAGCCATGGTTGGAGTGTCCTTTCCCTGTACTATTTTTTGAAGACTTGCCAAAGGCTTAAGGAAAGTGCATCGCCGCATTTGCATCACCCCACTGTCATCTCTGAGTACTTTTACTTCTTTTCCAGGCATGTGATCTTTTGAAAATTCTGCTTCTGACATCATGGCGATATTGTCATCAATCATGAAGACGTATTCAAGCTCTAAAGAAAATGCGAACTTTTGAATAAACAGTCTGGCATAACCAATTCCTCCATCTTCTGGTCCAAGGCAGCAATTGGGTAGTTCCTCTGGAAGTGGTACAATGACGAGTACTTTTCCCCAGGTGGATCTGTAGGCCTCGAACTTTTCCTTTCGAACAACGACAACTTGGACATAATTGATAACGCGTCCGTTTTCTTGCATTACGTGGTGGTAATTCAAAGTGCACTTCCTAGGATCGTCTCTGTGTGAAGGATGAAATATCCAGTATGGCAAAGTGAGACCATCCACTAGAGATTTACTGCTCGTTAATTTTTCTTTTAGTTGAGTGAATGACGGACAATTGCTGGGCAAGGAGCATGTAACAGTGACGGTGATTCCAGCAATGTCTATCACCACATTTTCCAGCTTAGATTCTTTGCCCTGTAGAAGTCTTCCACACTCAGCACATTTTTCAAAATGGTACCAATGCCAAGCACGGGGGCCATTTGAACAATCATCAGTCTTAAGGTTTTGATGACCGGTCTTGATTAGCGTTTTCCCTTCCTCATTCAGAAAAATGAATGGATTTTCCTCCATGTCATGAGAGTAGAAGCACCCTCCTATTGAATACTTCCCCATCTCAACCGGTTTGTCGAGCAGGCTTGGGCAAGTCGCGATTGTCTTCCAGTACGGAAATTGCCAGTATTTGCATTCATCTACATCTGTGATAACCGACTCGTCAGGATTATTTCTGTGCTTCCACTGGTAAAAGGAACCTTCGTCAAATGTGGCGGGTGAAGTGAGTAAAACTCTCGCTTTTCCCAGAATATTCAGTCGCAATTCTCTTATCAGGCACAAGTACGTTCCCGTCTTGCCAATCTGAGGTTCGGCTTGCAGAAGGATTCTGTTGCAGTGCGTTTGTGAGTTTCCATAATCGTAGCTGTCTTTATGTGCTTCATAGTTTAGCCATCGCAAAGCCGATGATTGTGCGTCTTTGATCGGGGGCGTCTTAGCCATATACCGGTCTGGTTTACTGCAGGAAGTTACACTTATTGATGGAGACGTCTTAACTGACGTCTTGAGTCTCTTGAATAGCTGTCGCCCAATCAATACATATGGAGTCGCACTTGTGGGAACTTGAGTATAACGGCACATTCTTCCAAGCTCTTGAATAAGACTGGATAGATAGACTGCCGAGCCCTCCTTAAACTCGTAACTACTATCGTAGCTAAGTCGCAAGTCGAGACAGTCAAAACTCTGGGGAAATGTGTCTCCCATGCGGCCTTTCTCGACCAGAATGAGTATGCATGCCAGGTTTTCCAGGTCTTCATACTGCGTTATCAATTTGTGCACGTGCTGGCAGTTAACACATATTTTATGTCTAGGTTGTAGTTTCAACTCACTGCAATGACAATCAAACTTATAGGTGCAAGCTTCTGGTTGAAGCTTTTTAAAGAAGGGATTTGACGATTTCATAAGCTGCTTCTCAATCTCAATACCTCCATAGTCTCTTATGACTTCAAAGTACTCTTTGAGACCCGCAACTTCTCGCGCTAATTGAACTGTGTAATAAAATTGATCAGCAGTTTTCATTGTTTTAGCTCGTACAATTTTCATCTTTCCTAGATCTCCCTTTCCACTCTGGATTAGATCTTCCACTAAGGAACTTGTTTCATGTTCTTGTACTAGAGAGTGCCATATTTGTACCATTAACTCACAACCATTTGCTTGCAATTCTTGTTGAATGTTTAAGGGTGTGTAGTGTTTTAATTCCTCGAGTTCTTGTGAAGGAAGGTGCATCATGCATTCAACAAATGAGATGGCCAGGTTGTCTTTCGATGTCTGCAATTCAATACACTCAGATGCCCTCTGTTTCTTCAGCTTCTCCGCGTTCTTCAAGTCTTCCTTAAATTGTTGTGTTACTCTGTCGCAGATATTTCTTTGAATTAGCTCGAAGGCCTCCGGGTGGATGTACTTTTCCAACTCCAAAATCCATCTTAACCTCAAATTCTGTTGGTACTGGAGAATCACTTTTGGCTTCTAAGTTTCCATGGGTATTCGTGGTGACCGTCAACAAGCGTCCTCCTTTTTCTTCTGCTTTCAAAGTCACTATGCCGTGGCTACCTTGGATAAGGAATTCCGTTGCCTCTTCTGGTACAGATGTGACACCTAGGTTTCCCTTGGTAGAGAGTTGAAGGTACTTGTATAGCGAATTGTCAATGTTTAGAGTTGACTTGAGTTTCATTCGCATTCCTCTCTCAAAGTTTTTAAGTTCAACTTCTGACCAGTGGACAACGTGAAGTTCAAGTTTCTTTGAGGTTTCCCCTACTCGCTCCAAGTCAGGTTCTTGCTTAAGGACCACGAGATCGCCTGCTTGGTTGGTTGGAGAGACGTTTTCCTTGAGAATAACGCACGGAACCAGAGGAAGACGAGAGTTCTGCGTCAGGAGGTTAAACGGTGTCGCTGAGATTTGTAGAACAATCACATTTTTGGGGGGGTTGCCTTTGGACCATTCATTGATGAAAAGATTATGGGCAGAGGGTTTGCTCCATTTGTCTTTGGTTATTCCCCAGTGGCATTCGTCTGCTACAATGACAAAGAGTGTCTGGGGTTTTTCCTGAACATCTTCTTTAAGTTTTTCAAAATGCGTATCCGTCTCCGCGCTGCGAACGTACATGAACATCCGTTTCTTTCCATCACGTTCACAATTGCACGACTCGAGTTCTTCTTTTGAAAGTACACCTGCGTCAGGATGGCGAATCCTCTTCTCCGTCTGATTGCTTAGCATTCTGTACCGGGCTGTGTACACTACGAATTCAATATCGTTGAAGACCTCCTTGAGTCTTGAAATGTTATGGTAATGGGACATAATGGCTTCAATTCGTTTCCTTAAAATCGTTGCCATTTCCATTTGGGAAGGATAATAGCAAGGCTTCTCCGGGCTTGCTTGGACTTCCCGCTCAACTTCTTCATCTTCATCTGACGAGTAAATTTCTTCAGAATAAATATCTTGGCTTTCCTCCTTCTCATCCTCTGCATCGCTTTCAGCATAAAAGGTTGCTTCACTCAGACGAATTTGGTTGATTGTTTTCCGTATCTCCCCGGAAGGATCTGTTACGTCGTCTATTCGAAGATGTACGCTTGATATGTTTCCCAAGGAGGGGTAAAGTACAATTATTTGTTCAAAGCCAGCGAGGTTTTCGCGTAATATGGATGTGGCGTCCTCGTCATTTCTTTTCAACAATTTTATACGTTTCTGATTCTGTCTTTGTAACGTTGGAAGTAATTCTGAAGTAGGAAGGAGGAGCTCGAGTAATCGGCCCGTTTCCTGATTGGAGACTTCAGTCAAGACGATTTCATTTACGACTTCGATTAAGAAGTCAAGAAAATAAGATTCAGTCATTCCAAATGGAGCTTGCCAATAGTAAACCCTGTCATGGTCACCTTGCTCGAAGAAGCACGCTGAATCTTCGTTAAGTGAGAAATTTACCAAGAACGGTAGAGTATCATCGCGAAGGACTTCACCTGCAACTAAATATGTTACCATTTGGTCACCCCATTAACCTATCATAAGCAAGTTCGTAATGAATCCTCTCTCAAGTTTGAAGTAAATATTTGTAACGTCTTTTCATGCCAATAATACCCATTTCACGATAAATACAGCCTGACAATGCTCTATCGTTTTGATCCTGAATGACGAATTTACAGGAATTTGGTAAAATTTTTTCCGCGAAAAAAAAAAACTACCGAAAACTGATTAAGCTCTGATAATTATTAAAAAGACCAGTAGACGGCGTTGGTTCTGTAGCAAGCACTATCTGAAAAGTTCACGAAACAATTCAGCGTTCCTTGTATGTGCAATTTTTTTACCGCTGCAATGACCTTCTTCTACAATCATAAAAATTACAATTTCCTTGACTGTGATTGGTTTGAAAAACTCTTTTTTTCCACCAATTCACTTGCCAAATTGTTATTGGATATTTTGTTTTCGGCAGTTGGTTATCAGACAGTTCAATAAGCCAATCACATTCAAAGTTGTAGTTTAAATCAACCAACCACAACCTTGGTTTCAATCACCATAGAAACAGTGTACAGACTCCTGAATTTCCCTTTCTTTTATGACTTGACTATTCATCTTTCTTGGAAATTGTAGTTTTTATGATTTATTGGTATAAGACTTTGTGTCGTCCAATTCGATTAGCAGTCAAACTCGCGATAAACAAAATCGGACTCCTGCTCCGCGGTCGTCCGATTATGATCATGTAGATGCTGACACAAAACAAGATACACCAGAAGACAGCATCATATTCTGTCTATATCCTCTCAAAAGCCATTGACAATGCACCCAGAGACATTTTATATTATTCAGCCCTTCGAGGAGAAATATTGGCAGTTTTGACGGAAAGAAATAACTACACCAGAGGCGTACAAGTTGATTTTACGCAATGCATCGACATGTCGCGGACTCATGCCAATTTTTTGTTAAAATTTTATCGGCTGTTCGAAGAATTTCCTCGACTTATGAATTGTAAATCAAAACAATTTTTTACAAAAACCTGAAAACCGTTAGGTCTGTTTATGAGAACAACGTCGTTTACGGGAAAAATAGACCTTGAACATTGGTAAAATTCACGGATTGCCTTGATTTCACGCTAAGATTCATGAGGACACGAAATGAACCAGAACCCGCTTTTTTATAAGTACTTCACTCTTATGATTACAGACTGGATTAGACTCACTCATTCCTATTACCATTACTAATAATATCATGATACAGAGTTCCCCTACATGAACTTCATACAAATTGGGAATAACTGTACCTTGATCGGACATCGCTGTTCAAGATTGTAACATGTTTCCCATGTAACGCCTGAAACGGAAGAGCGCAGGTATCTTAGATGGAAACTACGGAGTATAAGTATTATATGACATAGCCAACGTCATCACTCGTGTACGGTCTAGTTCCATGAATTGAAGCGCATTAAACGAGACGAAGTGAGACGATTTGTGGGCTCTCTGTCCCCTCACACAATACTTGGAAACGATGTTGGAATCGACGGACTGTTCAATAATTTAAGTCAGCAGAGTGTAATTATTTCCTGCTTATTTACGAAAAGAAAATGAAGAAAAAAAAACACATTAAGTAACAAGATTATACTTTTTTTTTCAGAGGGCACGGTAATGAATCCTGCAATCTGATTGGTTCTCAACCCGGTCAGTATTTTCCTATCTCTGCCCACGGGCCACGGTAACGCTTTCGTGAGTCGCCGAGTATATCCCAAATTTCGTTGCCATTTTTCATAAATATATCTCGTTTTTCCGGCTGGGCAGTATTTTTAAACAAACACGTCGGTCACTACCTCAAGCCGATAAATAACTTGTGAATCCTCTCTTTTATCTCTCTCAAATCACTGTGGTTGACAGAAAAATATTGGTTTCAGAAAGAATTTGTTTATGCAATAGTGCCATTACGTTGGTTGACTAGCGGCCTCAAAACCTTCTTCAATTAATTTTAATCGTTCACAAAAAGTACCTAGAAAGTTAAAACGTGAGGTATTTGGTTACAGTTAAACTGAACGAAGGAACTTCATTCATTTAATATCTGAATTTTCTCAAACAATTTGTTCGTAGTGAAAGAGCGAGCAAAGTTTTAAATTTAGTTTTACAACAAATATACGCTCTCGGTGAGTCTTTCCGAGTCCGTTCAATTTAGACATTTGTACCGTAAATTGTACTACAGAAACTGAAGGAATTTATTGAGAAAAGGCCGCATTAAATCCCCTTGTGTCTCATTGAGAGTGTGTTATTCGAATTTAGTTTTTGTGGAGGAAAGACCAGATTTACACACGCCATTGCAGCAAACAAACGAGCAAACTCTCACAACTTCAAAATAAAAAATTTGAATTTACTCACAATTACTTTCCTCGCCGTTTAGTTAGTGAACAGAGGTAAAGCTTCGTACATGAATGAATCGTCGATGAGAGTGAATAATACTTTCCGTTAGATTATTGAATGTTTTTGAAGAAAACATTGGCATGTGTGACAGTCCTTGCCAAACTAGTTCCGTTGTTTTCAAATGTTCTTGCGCTTTTTCTTTTCTTACGCGCTCTCTAATTGACAGGTGTCAGATTGTGACAGATACTTTTTTCTCCAGCTATTTCTTACAAGGATTATGCACAAAAGCAAGCCTGACTTCCGAGAACTTAAATAAATGCAAACTTGGTTAAGTGCAAACTTTCATCTATTAAAATATGCCAAAAGTTTTATCGACGGGGACCGGAAAATTTCTGGATCGAATGCTACATGATTAAATATTTCCTTAAACTTTATTGACCCTTTATGAAGAGTTTTGACTTTTTTTTTCCAATTTAGCTCATTTGCGAAATTTCATATGCTAAGCAATATTTCAAATAACCTGCGAGAAAACTTTGCACTCGAGATACAGTCTGTCGTCTACACACAGTCAGATCTGTAGTAATTTGCTCGTTTGAGAGTTCAATTCGAAGTAACAATATTTCTGAAGCTATCAAAATGCATAGTATAATATGGATCAACATTTAAACATTTTTTCTTTACGTTAAGTACCTGAAGCTATTTTCTGCTGATTCCAAGTGACTGGCTTCTGTGCTCAGAGGTGTTTAGACGGGAGGATCAGCTGCAAAGTAAATCAAACATCACGAAATCAAGCTTCTTTCTAAGTTCACTCGCGGTAACGATGTCCCATGCCTGATTGCAAAACATCAACGATATATATAGCCTTGTCAGAAGGTTAGTGCAATGTAAGTTATTTCTGCAAACTGCTTTGGAGTTTGAGATGCTTAATCTCCCGTTTATTTCCTTGAACGAAATATCCACGTCGTATCCACGTAAGCATAACAACCAACAAAGTTTTCTACAATTTCATTCTATGAAAATTTTCATTTTAAAGTGTTTTCAAAAGCATTATCACCTTTTGAAGAGTCAAACGTGGGACTCGGAGACGTGGGACTCGGAGACGTGGGACTCGGAGACGTGGGACTCGGAGACGTGGGACTCGGGGACGTGGGACTCGAAGACTCGGGGACATGATAAACAAACCTGATTTTTGCACTTAATTTGTAAAGTATAATTTTCGGGGGTCTCGAGAAAGGTGTAATATGCTGAAGAGCTTGTCAGTAGTAGCTAACCCTCAGCATCTCTCTTTAATTTGCGTCACCTCTATTTTAACTACCATTTACTCGCTCAAAAATTGTTCAGTTTATGGAAGATCTTGCCGTATTTACAGCCCTAAATCATTCGGGTTCTTTCGGAAAGAATTTCGTCAAGTTTAAGAAATATATATATATATATATATTATTTGCCGGCTGGGAGGTCCGTATGGTGAAAAACTGTGACCTCGGTCTTGAGAATGCTGCCCTCGGCCTACTGCCTCCCAGCCGGCAAATAACATATATTTATTCAATGATGCGATTCAAGGAAAATCCATTACCTGACTCATCGCTTCGCGATTCGTGCGATATCGGTTTCCGCCTGCAATTTAACGCGGAATTCCCTCGTCAGGTAATGAATTTTCCTACGTTATTCAATACATGTCAATAGGATAACCCATTGCAGAGTGTTCTCGATTTATTGAGCCTTGTTCAAAGACTAGTGCAGTTTATGTCAAATTTGCAAGATTCTGTAGAGTTTCAGACGCTTTAGGTCTGCTTGATGTCCAAGAAAACTGATAAAAAGCTTATCGGTTTGTATGAAACGAGTGTATACTCTTCGTGACTTGAGAGTCAGTCATTTTTACACGTGATGCTACAGTATTTGATTAAAAAAAACCGGAAATTTAGAACAATGCACGATAGGAACCTTGTGACTGAATTTCAATTGGTTAAATCAAATTATTAAACGAAAAGGTCCTTTTATTCTTGGTCTGTATTTTGTATCCGGTCTGCAGTTGGCAATATGCAGTCGACACTTTTTACTGACCAATCGGTCGTTTTACAGGCTATTTCGAAATAGCTATCTAAGATGCATAATAAAACATGGATTAACTAGTAATTTAACTTGCGTTTTTAAGCACCTGAAGCTTTTTGAAATGGCAGCATTGATTGTAGACAGGGTAAAATGGATGGATCATGAATTAAGTTTGCTTTGTATTTAGTACCTGAAGCTATTTTCTGCTGATTCCAGGTGTCTGGCTTCGTGTGCTCAGGATGTATTTGAATGGAAGGATCAGCTGCAAAACAAATCAAATATCATGAAAATCACATTTCCTTCTGATATTCGCTCGCTATAATGATGCTTAAAACCTGATCGCGTGATATTCCCGATTCGTGAAACCCGGTGTAATATAATATGCACTATATTTAGTTGTCGCAAGATTCTGTCAGTTTCTCGCAAAACTGATGTTCAAATTGCATGACCTTTCAATCATTTGATTGAATTTTGAGACACTTATAAGACCCTTATTGATCTCCTGTCGATGTCCAAGAATGAATGATGTTCGATACCTGATTGCAACGACATGTATAGCTTTGTCAGAAGACTGGTACAGCACCAAAATGTCATTGCTCGGTCAAGCATCCGGAAAAAATCTGCCTCAGTGCTAACCTAAACCCACGCTCTTTATTGCCTGGTTAGTTAGTTGCTAATTTTCGAATTAAATTAACTTGGTTCTCCTACTTCAGTGACAAGATTCGACCAGGTTTTCCGCTGTTTACGATCGCTTTGCTGGATTCTCCGACCGCTGGAGATAGTATCCGCGCAATGTCACAATAGGTAGAATTTTTAAAGGTTTATTTCTAATAAATCAAAATACTACGGCAAAGGCGGCGTTCTCCGATCACCCGCAGTGTTACTCTCTCACAAAAAATTATCCCTTTCTTTAATTGTATATAATGACAAAAATCATTTCCTGTTTTCAAACAACCAATTTGGTTTTCCACGCAATCGAAACACGCTAGGCCCAGTCGTAAACATTGCATCGCCAGGAGACTTGCAATACCATCTTGAATACGATTGAGAAATTATGACCACCGAATAGAGAGCGAAACAGATCCAAATAAATCCAACATGTTGCAATTTGGATTGCATTTCGCGAGATTGTTCCTAAAGCCTTCATTTTACGCTACGAGCAATTGATAGACTGCATTGCTATCTTATAATAACAAACAGTCAAAATTGCAATATGTATGACCACGATAAAATTATCCATGAGTACACAGGTACGGTTTACATGTAAATCATTTTTAAGCTGCGACTCATGTTTACCCTTTGTCTTAGAATTCTATAATGGTACTGCACTTGAGGTGTCGGTCTCTACACATTTTATATTCAACAAAAAAGAAAACGAAGCCCTTTACCTTAAGACTTTCGGGAGCCGACTTACGACATTGGCCGTTGCATCTATAAATGTACTTTCCTCGCTTCCATCAGTTTCAGATATCCGTTGCGATGTTTGATTGGTTACAAGCTTGACTGAAAGGTAAAGTACAATCACGTTTACCAGTTTTGTGCTCAAATAAAGAAGAAATGGATCACTCAAGGTTTCTGGTAAACCAGACCAGAAACTCTCGATCTAAAACGACCACGATACCTCGTTTTGCCACTATGCGACACACGAGGCTCGATTACGCAATCGAGTCTCGATTCCAATCGAGCCTCGTTTCTTCACCCGAGGCTTGTTTTTAAGAAAGAAAGAAAGAAAGAAAGAAAGAAAAAAGGAAGGAAAGAAGGAAAGAAAGGAAGAATGGAGGGAAGAAAGAAAGAAAGAGAAAAAGAATACTGCAAATTAAAAAATTAATAATTTAAACTCATATGCTTTTGTGACGGCAAACTTAGAATCCCTAACATTGTGTGGTTGACAGTATGTACCAAGCAGCAATAAATAAATAAACAAAAACAAGAAAAATAACGAGAAAATGACAAAAAAGAAGAGTAAAAACACCAGGATTAATGAGAGTTTTTATCGTGGGCGCAACAGGTTATTTTCGGCACATTTGAAAAAAGGTATAGTCTGCCTTTAGTAGAATGTAAGCATTCCCTCTTCGTTTAAGAAAAAGCGAAAAGAGAAATAGAGGAACGAAAAATTGGCCTGGCAGCGAATCTGGGTTTCTGGGCGGTCATAAATAACACGCGCTTTTTTTTCACAGTTTAGGTATATTTGAGTGATTCAGTTTTCGTTCATCTTTCCTTCCTTCAATAATCATTATCACAGTTTATTTCATATTATATATCTACAAACTGGAATTTATATTATTTTAAGAACTTAACTAACCCGTGAAGCCCTAAGTCTAGCAATCATAGAAATCCATTTACAACGCCGTAAAAAAATTGAAAGTTTTTATCGTGGATAGAGCGTGTCATTTGTAGCACAAACTAAAAAGAAAAAAAAACTCAGGGTCTAGCTTTAACAGACCAGAGAGCATAAAATAGCGTTAGTTTTGGTGGAATTTGGGTACCCCCACTTCTTCGAAGAAAAAGCGGCAAAAGAAATCACATTAAGAAACTTAGCAGCTAATGAGGCTGACGCGGACCTACAATTAACCAATAAAATATAATATAGCAAATAAAACAATTTACCCTATTATATTGAAATATACAATTGATCAAAAATAAATCAAGCATCATCTCTATAAAATTAAGTACATTGACAAAATAAAATTGCATGTTGCCCTAGAAACTTTGGTACAATATAATAAATATTAATAGTATCTAATAATAAGCAAACTCGCTTTCCTTATTCTTTATAATCATAGCCTCCTTTTCGAACGATAAATTATGGATATGAAATGCACATGTTCTTAAGATGTTTTTCAAGTTAATTATGCTGACTCCAGAAAGCTCAACTTTGGTATTTATTAAGTGCCATCGGCAGTTACTTAGTCCTGGTTATTTTTCTGTCACAGTTTATGTGTGATTTAGTTTTCGTTCGCATTTTTCATCCCTACATCGATCATCATCAGAGTGACCTACATTCATCTATTTTAATCAGCATGACTTCGTTATGTTCGCAGTTTAAATGAAAGAAGGATCAAACAACTGACATGTAACATTTATTTTGGCAAAAACTTGAAATGAGAAGAGAAATGAGTAGTACAGGAGAATTTCAATTCTGATCCCCAGCACGTCTTGGTAATGCTAGATTTCAGCAAAATCTAGTGATCGAGACAGCACACAAGAGAGCGCATGCAGCTATGCCTAAGATGAACATTTTCGACTACAAACGATCGTACTTGTCAACTTCCTTAGCTTGAGTTCACTTTCCCTCGTCGTGGAAGAAAACGAATTCGACTCACTTGGAAAAAGCGAAGAAACTCAAAAGCTAGAACTACAATCGTTAACGTCCAAGGCGCCAAATACGTCCATGTCATTATCATAATTGACTTGACCTTTGTGTCATCCAAGAGCCTTTCTGTTGTTTATGAGTCCTAGAATTTCACAAGAATGTCAGGAATTTTTCTTGGAAACCTCTTGTATGGGCGGCTATCACCACAAAAGTACAAGGATATCAAACAGATCAGCAAATACAAAGCTGGTCTAAGGATCAGCTGCAGGATAGCATAGCTAGTTAAGGAATAGCATGGCCAAATTAGAGACGGTTTAGTTTCCTTCATGAAACAGTGACCGTAAACATGAATAGTCTAGCCAAATGATAAAAGGTCTAGTTTCCCATGTCGAGTTGGAACATAAAATTGTGAAATGGACTATTTTAATTGCGAGTAGCTTAGCGCTAATTTGCAACACAGTACACAAACGGTGTAGCGTTGCGTCAAATGGCTCGGCGTAATGTCAAATGGTTCAGTGTACACACGTAAGGTGTAGCGTTGCGTGAAATGGCTTGGCGCCGTGTCGATCACCACAATGCAAATACAAACAGTGTAGCGTTGCGTGAAATGGCTCAGCGTAATGTCGAATGGTACAGCGTATACACAAATGGTGTAGCGTTACGTTGAATAGCTGTGCAGAACAGTCAGTCAGTCAGTCGAAAAACCGATGAAGATAATCTTTACGATCGAATAAAAGCTCCATTAACAAGTAGTGTTTACTATTACATCCACCTCCCACCTCTCCCTGCCTAGCAATAGTCCTTCTCTCACCACTCCCTGAGTAATAACACTCTGCCTTCCACCCCTCCCTGAGTACTAGTAGACTGCATCCCACCCCTCCCTGAGTACTAATGGTGTGCTTCCCCCGATAAAATGGTCCAAAAAATGGTCCAAAAAATAGTCCAAAAAATAGTCAAAAAAATGGTCCAAAAATGGTCCAGTCCATATTTTACCCTATGCCGTGATATCGGAATACTTAATTGGTTTGCCAGAAATAGTGATTGCCATTAAAACATTCCGATATCATTTTGATTAAATAATGTCAAAGCAGATCAAGGATATCAGTTTTCTTACCAAGACGTCCAACTCTGCACGCAATAACTCACAGCTCATCCATCACAAGAATTACTAAATTTACTTATTCCCTTCGACTTCATGTCCCTGGGTGATAGTTAATACAAAGATAACACAACATCTGATTTATATTTTTGGTTCAAATAACATAGTTATTCCGTGAACTTTGTGGATCGTATTGGAGAACTTACAAAAATGTTTGTGAACTCAAGAAACGTGCTTGCTAGAAAAACAAGCGCATTTCATTTGTTTTACATAGCTAATGTGAAGGTTGGCAGATTAGTTCAACCAGACAATTTAGTTATTACTCCATGAGTGTCGTTGTTACAATGGGCAATCAGGAGAAGGGGAAATAAGTTTAAGAGCCAATCAGAACTCGACGTGAAACTAATCAAACGGCCTAAAGTGCGGGAAAACGTGAGATTAATAAGTGAATTTAAATCTGTAGTAAGAATTTTGTGAATGACTGGATGTGTTAACCGTCGCTTACAACTCTACACACATTGTTGAAATACAACAAAATTTGATGCAAAGAAAAAGTTACAAGGTTAAAATTAACCCAAGTTTTGTTTTTTTGTTGGTCGAGGTGGTTTCAGACGACCTTACGGATGAAGGTTAAAACAGCTGTAACCACTGCATCTTAGTAAACAAAGGGTGAATCAGACACAATTTAGCAGTATTAGAAAAAACATATCCGAACATTAATTTGGTGAAAATAATCTTCTCTGTCTCAGCCAATCAGAATTTTGCCCCCTAGGTTATAAGACACGCAAAGTATCATATATTTTTGCTAAATGAGTCCCAGAATGGATTGGAGAAATGGGATTAATCATTAATCTTGGGTAGTTTTGCCTTTCCGATTCCAAGACTTTCAGTAAAGGAATTACAATTAGAGAGAGAGGAATTTTATTCCCGGCCTTCTCCAGTTCAACTGCGTTGAGAGTTTTGTCAATTTCCACTATCATTTGATCAATAGATCTTCTGAAGTTTCCAGTTTCCTCTTCGATGTACTCTTCTGTCATTAAAACCAGAATTTCGTCCTCCAGGCTCCAAGGACATTGAGTTTTTCCGATAAAGCAATCCGGTAAGTTTTCAATTGATTCGCCGGAGGAGATTCAAATTCATCGAGTAGGGCTTTTACCTTCTCCAGAGTCGTCATAACTTATCCTTTATGTCCTCGTTGGATCTTTCTCTTCTTTTTCAGTTCATCAGCCATTTTTCCAAAGAGAGTGAATTCTTCAGTGAGTCAATATTCCCGGGTCTCGGCACCATATAGAAATTATTTGCGAAAAAAGAGGCTAGGGTCCAAACTCCACAGAAGATATGTATTAAACTTGTTGTATGAACCACAATATTTGACTGAAGTAAAAACTCCTAAGCTTCTTAAAATTCCAAACAAAGTAGTGACAAATTTACGCGAACGAAAGCTAAAAAAAAAACCAACTATCTCTCCGCGAAAACAAACTAAAAGTAGGCAAAAAATGTCCACGTCAGTTTTCCAGTGACAAGTTTAGAGTTCTTTGACGTGATTGGCTAATTTGTGAAATACGCGCACCGTCCGAAAAGAATACGAGAGGGGGAGAGGAAAAGGAAAATTGTTACTTGAAGTTTGAAAATGAAAGAGATTCTCTACAAGATAATACACAAGAGTAACAAATACATGGTAGATTTCGTCGAGTGTCTTGGTTCGTGTCACAGTTTCATTTCTGCTTAAAAACATTATTTTGTGATTGTTGGTGCAGGTAAATTATGATATGTAATAGTGATATATTTAGGTCTTTTAAGGTTCTCTGACCTCCTTTTATTAAACCGTTTCGATTTTACAGAGCAACAAGAAACGCTTACCTCTTTTGTTAGATCAGAAGCTTAAGCTTAAAAGATAATTTGTCAGGTTTTAATATATTTCTCCTTGATCTTTACTAAGAAGAAAATATACGAAATAAAAAGAAAAATTAATTAATGAAAAACTTCCAGATATAGCTGGTTGGCTACAAGAAACAAGGCTAGTAAGAACAAAACAATGACCTCCTGCTAACCTCATTCTTGTACT